TCCACTCTCACCAATAATGCATTATAATTTTATTCTTTTTTTAAACTCTTTCCACCCTGTGGAAAGAGTTTTAAAAAAAGAATAAAATTATAATGCATTATTATTGAAAATTTCTTCATCTTTCCAAGCTTCTTGTATTTTTAGTGTACTATTTATTCGTTGCACTCATAACAGGCAACGCGTAAAAACAAACGAGAAGCTTACAGTAATGCTACTTACAATAGCAATAATGCTGGTAAAACGAACACTAATAAAACACAGATCTACTCCTCGCAATTAAAGGGAAAACTTTGACCTCGAGGCAAGACCCTTACCTCGAAGAAACAAAAACAATAGTTACACCTTTACGCCGTAAAGCTGGCTCTTCACTTAGAATTTGAGGCGATTCAATCACTTTTGTCATTGATCTTGCGCAATAAAATTTTCAAGTATGTTGGCAAAAAAGAAGTGGGAAAACTGGTTGTTAAACTAAGCATTGCCAAACTCGTTTTCTTGGAAGCACTGCGCGCAGCAATTCTCGTAGTAGTCTCATTAGTTTGAGGTTTAATCTGCAGCGCTCGTTTCAGTTGCGTTTCACGCTACAACAAGATGGTTGCCTCCACAGTAAAATTATGAGAAATTGAATTCTTATTTGATGTGCCAGTAAAATTGTAAGGTTTTAATTACCGTGAATCGATATTCTGTTTTTACTAGTTTTTCTTTTAAAATACTCATTAGTAAAATAAAAGATTTGACAAAACGTGTATATTTAAAATGTTTTATTATCTACTTTATGTTGCAGAAAGAAGTTGCATATATTAAATTTAAATCATCAATTTTACCTTTCAAAAAAAGCCTTTTATCGCAAAAAATGAATTGTATTTTTAAAATGTTTCGAATTAAATGGTTTCAGTAGAACTTCAGGCAAAAAACATTAATATATCATCAGAGATTTTTTGGTGTTAAATCTCTTCTTATAGCTGAAATTTTTCATTCTTGAAAATTTTCAAAAATTAGGATATCTCGCAGCCATTTAGATATTGTATAATTTTAATAAAAATTAGATATTGCAAAAATAAAAAAGCGTGTTTGAAAAATATTCTTAGAACGACAATTTCAAGGATATTTTCAATATATAGTTCGGCTGAACCATATCAGATCAAAAAATCTTGATTTTTATAAGATGTAACTCAACATCCACGTAACAGAAATTTTCGGGTTGGAAAATCAGATAGAGCATCAAAAAGTTCTCCTGGGAGAGTCCTGGCTAGAATGACAGATAAATATAAGTGCTATAACCGAAAATACAAAAAAAATTCACCTAAAAATTCGTTATTTTTGACTTCAGATATGTTTTTCAACAGCCATTTGTGATTCGCATGTTTCTTACATTTAGCGGTCAGTTTTTTGCTCTGTAATCGTGTAATGCACTCTGTGTGGCGTCAAGAAAACAATTGAATTCAGATTGGCTATTGAGAAAAGTGAAAGTGAAGGCTTTCCCAGAAGTGCGAGATTAGTGTTTCTCATTTCCCGGTCTTTCGCTTGTCCCGGGATTTCGGGATAAAAGTGAACTGTTTCCCGGGATCCCGGGACAAAATTAATTATTTATAAGATATACAAAATATCAAGAAACAAATGATATAATTATTTTTCGTTTCTTAAAATAATTTAATACATTCTGTAACTTTCAAAATGATATTAATAATGCTGTGTAAGATATACAGTATATTAAAAATTACCTTTGAATTACGTAGAAATTTTCACCAATAGAAAACATTTATTAAAGTTTGCTGGAAACTGCATACAACAACAAAATGCTTTGAATTGAGTTAAAAATTTAAAAAAAAAATGAACTTAGATCAAACTTCTAACTTAGAAGGAAATTTTTGTTTTTTAAATAAAATATAATACAAAATATTGTAAATTTTTATAAGATTTTAAAAAGCAAAGATGGTCAATACTTGGATCACTCAATCTAATTGTTATTTTAGTAATGAAAAAGTCTTGCTACCGAGAATGTCCTTTCCGATTCAATTGATGCGAGTGGAATCGTGTTTAATGCATTTAAGAGAAGACAAATATTATGTGTTTCTCACCTGTATCCTGAGAGATTTCTAGTTCGTTTTCGAGATTGTAGTACTTCTTTTGTTCTCTAGTATTCTTGATTTGTCTACCTCGACTGCTTTAATAGAAACATCATAGCCCCATAATTTAGCAGTTCGTTCGTTTTTAATAATCAGGTTATGAAGAAAAGCTTCATACTTGCAGACTTCGTACTCGTTTGTATCCTTGCCCAATTTGCACAACTTGGCGTTACGCAGTTATTAAAGCTACTAGGCATAGTTAAAGATTAAGACAGCGTAAGCACAATTATTCCAGATATTACAGGTAAAGAATTTTGAGAGTCCTGCCACAAATAAGCTACGTATTGATTATTGACCATTTGTGACATGCCATAAGAAACAAAAATTAAAAAATATCTAATAAGTAGGTTTAAAATTAATAAATACGAATGTATTCTGACAGTTTATGAGTTAATTATAAATTGTTCAACAACTTTTACATTTAAACTTTATAATTTGTTAAAATTTCTCTTTCAGAGGTATACAAAACTTAGTTAATTTTATTGTTTCATCTAAAATGCATATGACAAATTCAAAGAATATTCTGACTTATCTTAATTATAAATTTCATCCTTTCTCGAACTTTTTATGAATAATATCTGTAACAAAGTATAAATTTTCTGTTATTTATTATCTGTGCATGTAAATTTAAAACACTAATCGCACAATTAAAATGATCTATTGTGTATGATTTGGTTCAGAGGTGCATAAAGATCAAGTATGAAGTTAAATGTTCAAAAAAAATAATCAGCTGTATTTTCACTTTATACTCATCACTCCATATTATGACAACTAAAAAAAAATAATCTATTTCGTCATGATTCGTTCTGACGACCACAAAATATAATCTATACTTCGGTGGGTTGACGTCATTCAGCTGACCAATCAGCGCTTTGTGCCATATGGATATTTAGCCGCACATGTTCTCGATCCCCCCGAGTCTATCTACAAGTCTGTATTTTTTATGCGCGCGCATGATTTAGCATCTAATACTCTGTGCCAAATTGCAACTCCTGACATGTACAGTACTCCTTCATACCTCTAAGCTGGTACGACAGTACGATTTTATAAACAAGACATAGTCTTATCAAAAATGACATAAAAAACAAAAGTATGGAAACATATGGCTTTAAATAGTGGCAGGTAAATGTTAAAATAATTAAACACAGACATTAAATTGAAACATATAAAACTATTTTAAGTTGAAAATTTTGTCGCTATTTCCGAGCCGACCAGTGGCCAAGCAGTTCCTTTCCCTGAACACTGGGAGTTCGATCGTGGGTTTGCCCCTCCCTTAGAAGGGCTGGCCAAGTGGAGTTTTCCGGGTTTTCTCTACATCTGTAACGCCTGAATAGGGGCGTTACCCTTAAAAATCCCCGAAAGGCATCCCCCTTAAAGGCGGCTATACATGATGGGTTAATCCTTTGAGGCTGCCTGGCCTTGAGGAACTTCAGAATTTCCTATCGCTCACAAACGAAGAAAACCTCTCAGCAGAGGGTGGTGAAGCTTGCCCCGGGCGCCACTGGCAGAGGGGAGCCTAATGGTTTCCAAGAATAACAAAATTTGTTTCTGGAGGGGGAGGGGGCGCCAATATAGTGTCGCGGCCCGGGTGCAGTTATGTTCGTTACGCCATTGTGTTTATTATTACGCCACTAATGTTTACTGGCAACAAATTCTATTAAAACTCGCGGGAAAAATTTATGCATAGAAGTCTATGTTGTAAATAGTAGTAGTAGTGGTTTGGGTAGCACTGACCACAAAATTAATTTTTCATATGAATAATTTTTTAATGGAATTATTTCAGATCACAAAATTAATTTTTCAAGAGAAATCTTGGGCTATAGATTATGTTAAAAAGCATCAATTATCAGCGAAAGATCAATGGCAAGTCGATTTTACTCAAGGACTATATACTGTACTACAGTTTATATATGTAGTTTATAGACTATATGTATATACATATATATATATATATATATGTAGACTATATACTATATGTAGTTTAAAGTCCTTGGATTTTACTACCAAATAAATTCATGGATTAAGTTTTATAGACGAATATATATTAATAATTCTCAACCACATCCGATATTAGTACAAATTGTAAACATTATTATCGCAAATTAATTTTATAATTTAATAATTAAAAAGAATTTATTAAACTTTGTCTTATTTTAAGTTGTCATGTTTTAATTTACTTGGATATTAAAACAATAAATTTTTTAAAATGTAAAAGAAAATGATATAGAGTATCAAGATGTTTTATGAAAACGGAAGAAATGAATTGAGAAGTTTTCTAAATATTAAAATTATTTATAATTTTAATTTACTCAAGAAATTTTTGATCCGAAAATAATTTATAACCTGAAAAATTAATTTATTAGGTTATAAATAATAAAAGTTAATAAGGTTATAGAAAATAATTCTTCCAAACATTCACGAGACATTGTTCTCACACACGTTTAGGTCGGCCTGCGCAGTGTCAGACTGCGCCAGGAAAATCAAATGGTTTTTCAATTCTACTCCGGTGGTCGGTACAGTTCGCCAAAACTGTTAAATTCTCCCCCATAAACTACCAAGAATTATAAAGGTCAGGCATGCATGGTTACTCCTTTGAGAATTAACCTAACGAGTATGGGCGATTCTACTCAGGTGGTCGGTACAGTTCACCGAAACTATTAAATTTTCCCCCACACACTTCCAGGAATTACTCAAAATCAGGCATGCATGGTTACTCCTTTGAGGATTAACCCATCGTGTATAGCCGCCTTTTTTAAGCTGCCACCTTGACCACTCGGCCATCCGCCCGTCATAATTCCCCCAACTTGACACATCGCCCCTCCCTCCTTCCAATAGTGACGTAGTTGAGGTTATGAATTTTGATGATTGATCTTAACGGTAATTGAAAATTAGGGTACACATAACTGAAAGAGAAGTGTTTAAATATATTTCAAATAACAAAGAAAATTGTCATTAAAGAAAGAGAAATAAAATAAAATAAATTAGAATCCAATTTCCAAACAATTAGTAGGTGGCAACGCTATATCGATACACGAAAGCACGTGGATGTATGGCATGTATATTTTAAAGTGTGTTGCTCGTTTATTATTTAAAAAATAAATATGAATTTTATGTTTATATATAATTATATAGTTAAAGTAATTAATAAGGAGGATGTAGATAATTAATATTTATAATGTAAATTCCAAATGTAAATTTCCAAAGTTTAAGAATAATAATTTTATATTCTTAATTTATTTTTTTAAGATAATTGGCATTTTTTGTATCTAGACGCTTTAGAGTAAATATCACATTTATGTTTCTATAGGTTGAGTCTAATGATTGAATTCTAAAGTTATTCATATATTCGAGATCAAATACAGTAAATGTAGATTCCAATGAGTAGGAATCCTCCAGGATTGTCGGCCCCAATATTTTTCATTTTATTTTAATTATAGCTTTCTTCCGTTTATGATAAATTAGACAATATTTGCATATTGTTCGTATATACTGTAACTTACTAATACGACTTGAAGTTACAACTATTTAATAATCAAAAAATAGTAAGATCCACCAGTGTTTGAGTGGATAAAACCACTGTATACTAGTATAGTGTTTTTTGACTTTTTTCTAATAGTGGCACTCCACTTAATATTTTTTTATTGCAGCACACACACTTCTTTATCAATGTAGTTACTGTGCTTTTAGTAATTTTAGTAATACATGTAAGAAGTGTTATGGTGCTGCTCAGCACTATATTTTCTAGTTCTGGGATCCACCAGTGGCTGAATGGAAAAAAACTGAAGAATGGTAGTTGAACATGTGTTTGTGTCTTATCAATGAGTTGGCCATCTGGAATTTTCTGGATTTTCTTTAATATCTAAATGGGGGACATTTTCCCATAGAAAGACCTCTTGGGTGGCAGTCCTCCTTGACAGATCATTCAAGTATTGCATTTCCTTCTTCCAGCAATCCATTTCATGGTATTCCATGGCATCATGACATCCTGTGACATCCTGGTTGAAACTACTGCAGTAGTAGTCTGTTGTAGGTTTGCACCTAACAAACTGGATGATTGCATGGAGTTTTACTGTTTTCTTCTAATTGGTTTTCTTAACACCTAATTAAAGGCCAGCCTGCTGTAAAAGTCCTTTTAGAAGGCACATCCCCTTGGTAGATCACTTGTATGTTGCATCACCCTATTCTAACAATCTAGTCCAAAAAATGATAAGAACCCAATTAAAGAAAAAATAGGAAAAAAAGAAAAAAAAAATTAGTTATGAACAATAAAAATAATCACATTTTGTACATATTCATTAATATTGTATAAAATATGTTTACAAAATTTATAGTATTTATAAAATAATACATTAAATCAGTTTAAGAAAGACTGAATTTTAAAAATATTTAATAAAAAAGTTTGTAATAACAAAATTTAAAAAAAAATATTCTTAGAAAAATTCTAATCTTTTTAGAAATTAGATATAAGGGACTTTTATTCTCATATATATTTTTAAAGTAAAAATCTTATGTTAAGTACATTGAATAGATTATAATTTTATAATTAAATATAAAAAGTAAGTTTGAGATGATTATTTATTTCAGTTTTATTAAAATTGTTAAGTATGGAACGAACAACTGATGTCTTTGTGAATAGTTCATTATCTAACAAGAAAAGACTTTCATCACAGCAGTTAAATGAAAAGAAATATAAAGCTCAACAATATCAGATTAAAGCTGCTCTTGCAAAAATTGTAAGTATTTTAAAATTAATAACAGTTATTATTTACTTGACTTTTATTGCTTGATTATAATTTTTTATTTCTTTTCAATGTTCTAGTTGAAATTATTGAAACTTTTCTGTTTTTGTTTAATTTGAATCTTTCTAATAAAATTTATTCCAATTAAGGGTATCCATAAATTGGGGTATGTGCCTCCCTTATTTTTGGTTTTCCTTTTCCTAATTTCCAAGGGGCACCCAAATTTTATAATCAACAAACAACAGAAACTTCATGACTTATAACTAGCCTATTTTGCAAATATAAAAGAAATTATGAATGGTATTTTTCCATTGTCCCATGAAACTATTTTTATGTAGTTATTTGTTGGGCTGCAATTTTAAAAAATTGTAGACCTATAAATTCCCACTGTCATCTGTTCATCCATATGTCTTTCCTTAATCTCAAGAATGGAGTTAGATACATGAAAGATGAGACCAGATATGAAAGCTAGTGATGTACCGGATATCTGAGGGAAAAAAAGATCCATATCCTTATCCATTACTTTTTAGTGGATCTTTAACGGATCTTTTATCTTAATGAATTTTATTACTTATATGAAAATTTAAAGATAGGTAGCAATAAAATACTAATAACTTCAATTCAAATCACTTTTTATTAATTAAAATCACATATTTGGCACATTCATATTGCAAAAATTTTATCATGCAAAATTTATTTACTATCTTAAAATTTTTCCATATTACACTACTAAACTTCTTTTTTGACATTGTTTTTATTTTAATTTAACTCAACATTTTCCAAAAACACAAACGTAATCTATGCTATCTTGTGTCACACTAAACTATGAACAAAAACATGCGCAGTGCAAGTCAAAACACATTGTGTTACTAACGTAAAGTGTCAACTATCGGTCCAAGGTCACACGCACCGGTGCAGACTGAATATGAAAGTTGAGATCCGTATCCGCAGATCTAGACACTAATGATCTGTATCTGTACCCGTATCCGTGTATATACATTTTTAACGATCTGGAACATAACTAATGAAAACCTTAGGGGCTGGAGGCCCTGATTAACTATATATGAACTTTCGATGCAAATCGGAAGTCATGTTATTTCAATTCAAAACTTTCCCTGAAAGTAGTTAGTAGATGATTGGTATGAGTATTATTAAAGGAAAAGTATGATGTACAGAGGTGAGACACTATAGTACTCATTTGAAGTGGAGAGCATATATTTTTAAAAAATTGCAGCCTGGCACTGTGACAATGTCACAATAAATAATTGCTTGTTTGTTGTATGTTGACTTGTTTTCAAGGCCAAATTAACCTGAAGTGCAACCATGCCACCTTGTAGGAGTGGCATGGTTTTTTTTTTTTTTTTAAATTTGCAATTTAATGTTTTAATTAAACTAACCAACTTTTGGTTTGGGAGTTTTCATGATAAAATTTACAATTTTATGACTAAGATTTTCGGCCACGCAAACCTTGCAATGATTGTATTCTACAAATCATAAGGACATTGGTACTATATATTTGGTGCTAGGTATTTGGGCTTCTATGGTTGGGACTGCTTTGAGATTGATTGTTCGGGGAGAGATTGGGATACCAGGCTCTTTGATTGGAGATGATCAAGTTTATAATGTGGCTGTGACGGCTCATGCTTTTGTTATAATTTTTTTTATGGTTATGCCTATTATGATTAGGGGTTTTGGGAATTGATTAGTTCCTTTAATGTTAGGTGCTCCGGATATGGCTTTTCCTCGAATAAATAATATAAGTTTTTGGTTGCTTCCTCCTGCTTTTTATCTTTTACTTTCTTCTGCGGTATTGGAAAAAGGAGCGGGAACTGGTTGGACGGTCTATCTTCCTCTTTCTTCTTCTTTGGCTCATGTTGGGGTTCGGTTGATCTTACTATTTTTTCTTTACATTTGGCTGGTGTTTCTTCTATTTTAGGGGCTATTAATTTTATTACTACTATTATTAATATGCGAAGAAGTGGGATAGGATTGGATCGTCTTCCTTTGTTTGTTTGGTCTGTGATAGTTACTGCTGTTTTATTGTTATTGTCTCTTCCTGTGTTAGCTGGGGCTATTACTATGTTGTTGACGGATCGGAATTTTAATACTTCTTTTTTTGATCCTGCTGGGGGTGGAGATCCTATTTTATATCAGCACTTGTTTTGATTTTTTGGGCATCCTGAGGTTTATATTTTAATTTTGCCAGGGTTTGGAATGATTTCGCATATTGTAAGTCATCATATGGGGAAGAGGTAGCCTTTTGGTTCTTTAGGTATGGTTTATGCTATAGTTGCTATTGGTGGGTTAGGTTTTATTGTTTGGGCTCATCATATGTTTACTGTGGGTATGGATGTAGATACTCGGGCTTACTTTACTGCTGCTACAATAATTATTGCTGTTCCTACGGGTATTAAAATTTTTAGCTGGTTAGCTACTCTTCATGAGTCTTATTTTGTTTTTAGCTCTGCTATGTTGGGTCAGCACTCCTACACTTCATTTGTAGGAGTGCTGACCCAACATTGAACCATAGTTTGAAGCTTATTGCATAGTTTTCAATGCCCTTTTTTATATCTTTTGTTCTCCCTTTTTGATAGCATGTGGGTTTCACTGATTTCAATATGTAAAAAGAAAGAAAAGAATCTAGAAACTCTTATCATCATATCTGTTCTTCTTTCAGTATACTGAAAATTGTAGAAAAGATATTAAATTAATCTATTCCCAAATTAAAAGTAAAATTACTAACAAAATGTTGTGCTATTTAAAATAGATCAGACATTATAAAAATACTTCAATGTAATTCTCAATAATTTTGTATGTCATTTAGATAAGCATATAGTTTATTTAGATTTAGCATATACATTTAATTGAAATGCATAATGTGTAATTTTATTTCATTGTATAATATGGAGTGACTCCAGTTTACCACATTTTTTAAAAATTTTATATTATGAACATTTGGGTCATGGAACTGTTACAAACTGTTATATTGGGTTGTGTGAATGAAAAGTTTGAGAAATGCTGGGCTATACCACTTATTAAATTTACATTTTTGTGCTATTAGTACTATGTATATGTTGTTATATCTATTATATTAACAAGTATTTTCAAGTATCAAATATACTAAATACTTCAATATATTTATTTTATATGTATACAGTGACACTTCATTTTCGTTGATAATCTGTCCAAAAACAATCAGCAAAATCCGAAACCAATGAAAAACAAAGAAATTATTTCCATATGAATCAATGTAAATCCAATTATTAATTTGTTCTAGACACTCCAAAATACATACCTAAAACACATTTTATAGAGAATAAATGTAGTGTTTAATACTAAAAACAAAAAGAAATTAATATAAAATGAATATAAAAGATTAATGTGAAGAATAAATGAACATTTAACATGACATCTGTTCAACATCTTCAATTGTTTGCGATCTCTGTTTCATCATCACATTTATGCCTTTTGCTACATTAGCCTCCTTTATTGCTTCCTTTATCACCACAATGGAACTTTTTGTATGTTGACTTCCTATACATTCGGCTGATTTCAGTAATCTTAATGCCGCTTTTGTATTTTTCAATGATTTCTTTCTTCAACTTGATCGTGTTCCTGGCCATCTTCTTCAAAGGACTGCTGGATCTGGAAACTTCCTTTGTTCCCATGATGGAGCTAAAAGGAAAGGAAAGCAATGGAATTGTTTGGCTAGATGCGCAGGGTAATGCTCACACAATGAGAAACAACGCCACATTGATTAGGAAAATGCATAGGTCACCCTTTGTTTTCGTAAAATTAGCAGCAATGTCACAAGGGCACACTGATGAAATTCAAGGCAACTGATGAAAACCAAGACAAATTTTTCATGAAAAAATCTATGAAAACCAAAACTGATGACACCAAAGTCAAGGAAAACTGAGGTATTACTGTATATACAATTTCTGTTTTATTACATGATCTATTTAGACTCATTAAATTATACAGTATAAGAGAAAGAATTTAATTTCAGTCTGGCATATTAATATTTATTGATAATAATATGTTGTTAAATAAGTTAATTTATTAATAATGTATGTACATATACAATGTATNAAATATATTGAATAATATAGAAACAAAAAAAAATATATTCTTAGGCCGACTGGAATTCTTTCGGATAAATGATGCTCTGCTGTAATAATAATGTAATATTTTAATTAAATTATGTTAAGGAAGTATAAAAATTACTTTAAATAATTGATATTTTAATTTATCTCAGATTTGTTGTAATAACAAAATTTTACACAAATGCAATGAACTACATAGATTAATTACCATCAAAACTAAATATATTAATATTTTCAATACAGATTGTTAAAATATATTCAGATTACAATAATAACTTGCTGTACATTGGTAATTGGTTCCAGAAGACACAACTTAGTCATGTCTTTTGGAACCAATTAACTTAGAAAGTGATGTAAATCAAATAATCTCCTAAAAAACTATTTAGACTACATATAAACCCCTAATAAGCATTCCCCTTAATAAATGTATATATGTTAATTAATGCTAAGTTAAAGAAACAACAAAAAATATAAAAAAATTAAAATACCATCAGTCTTCTCTATATGACTTTTTGCTATAACAAAATTCTTGTTTTATAGCTCAGTTTGACTTATGTTTTGATAAGTTTCAATATACAACCATAAAAAATATACAATACAGGTACAGTAGAGCAGTGTTTTTCAACCTTCTTGAATAAGCGACCCCTTTACAAGTTAAAAAATTCTGGCGACCCCCCAGGGCAATATTAAAACTATGTCAGTGATTTTAAAAACTACATATTTAAGTTTCTTTCTTTTGAGACCTAAATATTGATAAAAAAAAAAACCAATTGTACTGTAAAGTAAACAGGCACAGCCTTCTCACTGAGTTTGTAGTTTTTTTTTTATTGTAGTGTAGGACCTACAAACACTTGTCTTTTTCTTTTACCTGCGACCCTCCTGTGTAAGGCTTTGCGACCCCCTGGTTGAAAAACACTGCAGTAGAGCATTGATTATCCAAATGTTGATCAACTGAAACGTCAATTAACCGAAAGCTTTCCAGACAGAAAATTTAAATTTTCACTAGTGCTGTGGTGCTGCAATCTTTGGCCATGTCATGGGCTATTCCAATATTATTTTTGTTGGTGCATGTGTTTTAACTGACAGCACTGGTGCGACCGTGAGAGGGTACTTAAGGACATGCCAGGATTTGAATGAATTTCAACATGGGATAGATTAATATATTTTTTCATACATAATCGGTTATTTGAAAATTCGACTTTCTGGACAACCCCAGTCTCCAATTGATTTGGATAATTGATGCTCTACTGCAGTGGTTCCCAATTAGTTTTTCCTGCATACCACTTCAAAAAAGAGCTCAAACTTGCATACCCCTTATATCAGAAATTCATATTAATCCATACTAATATTATAAATTCGAAGACAATTCTGTCTGTCTGTCTGTTACCTTTTCACATATAAACCACTAAACAGGTTTTAATAAAATTTGGCACAGAGATAGCTTACATGTTGGAGATAGACATAGGTTACATTTTACTGCGAGAAAATATCTTACTCCCATGAGAAAATTCAATATAATGTGGGCGAAGCTATGGGTAGACAGCTAGTGATAAATAGAATAAGTTTTTTTTTTACATTTATTACCTTTAAAATACAATTCTAATAATAATGAAAATAACATAAGGTTATTTAATTTTAATGTCTCAAATGTGCACGATTTTCTTTGCACACTTTATAAAATCTGGTTGCTTTTTGGTCAGCTTCAGTCTCAAGTCATCTTCAAGTTGAAGTTGGTGAAGATGTTTAGTTTTCATGTTTGTCATGGCCGAAAATCCGCTCTCGCAGAGGTATGTTGTGCAAAATGGTAGTAAATATTTTATTGCCACTTCATTGACATCATAAATTCTAGCCCGATTTAGAAGCGAGATATCGCAACTGATTATTAAACTCAGTGAAGTCTCATTATACTCTGCGAGAAGTCGTGTTGTTGTGCGCGAGAAATAACAGCAACAAAAATTTTCAAAATTAATTTTACGGAAACAAATTGTATTAATTGTACAATTTTTGTTTCTTGTGTAAGAATTTCATTTAGGTATTGTCACAAATGCATTTTTTTGATGAAATTTCAAGAATATTTTTAGTTATAAATAAACGAATTTGGTAGGACTGTAAGACATCTTTGAATAAAAAAGTTGTATTTGATTCAGATGAAGATGAAATAAAACAACCATCTAAAATATATAATGGTCAGCTTGAAAAAAGAAAACTTTTTGATGATTCTGACAGTGATGAATCTGAAAATGAATCTAAATTGACCAAAGAGCAAAATTTAAATGATTTGTTTCGTGTAAGAGCACAATTTGAAGGGAAAAAGGGACAAAAGGTAAAGAAATTGTATGAATATATTTGTATTTGTAACATCTGTGATTAAACTTACAGAAGTAATTTAAGTCTTGTACTTTTAAAAATGTTAGCAATTTAAAATTCTGGAAAATACTAAAATAGAGACATTATGATAAAAGTTGAAATTAAAATTAAAATATAAATATTTTTTCTTTCAATATTTTAGCAATATGNTGATGAAATTTCAAGAATATTTTTAGTTATAAATAAACGAATTTGTGCATTTGACATCATGTTGTAAATTGCCAAATTTTTGATGGTCCACCCATTATTTTTTTTGATTGCTTCATCTCATGCATTTAAATTTTAAATTGACTGATTTTAGATTGCCGCACATACCCCTTTATGCAATTTGCGTACCCATGAAGGTACACCTCCCACTAATTGGGAACCATTGCTCTACTGTATTTACTGATTCAAGCACAACATGCATCTATCATGTCTTCAAAATGCAGTAAGTAATGTGATATATTAAATGTAACATAAATTAATTGTTCATACTATACTTTATTTTATTCTTTATTTGTTATTTTATTACAAAACAAAAAAGAACAGAAATATTTTTATTATTTATGTTGAAATCAACTGGCATTTCAAACATTGTTGCAAAATGCTAATATAGTTAGTTTTGGTTTTGATTGCTTGAAAGCTGACATAAGTTGAGGTATTATTATATTAATAAATTTTATAATTCATTTTTATATGACTATTCATTTATTTAAAATCATTTAAAATATTTATTTAAGTTGTTAGAATTACAAACACGTTTTAAAAATGATGAAAGATTTCAACTGGACGAAAGATTTCTTGAAAGTGATGATGATGGTGGAAATGAAAAAGAAGGTATGTTAAATGGATGAATATTTATTGAAAATGATAACAATATACTTTACATGAATTAATAGAAATTTAAATTTCAGAAGAATTATAAAGTAATTTGTCAAATTAAAAAACCAGATAAAGGATTTTATTAATTTTCTGTATAAATACAGTATTTGATTAGTATTAGTAATGTTAATATTAGCAGTTAAAAATTGTTAGTAGTATCAACAATTAGTAGTAAATAATAATAGTAATGTTCTGTAGATTTTCAAAGAGCATTTCAAAATACTATTCTTGAAATCTGATAAATATATAGGTTAATAGAATGCAATGCATGGTAGCTTGCAATGTGCTAACCAGTTGGACTCTTAATTTTGACATCTTACAGTATCAAACAATCCATTGAATTTTTTATTGGCTTATATTAAGCAGTTTGGACAAGTGTATTGGGTTCTTGTATATGTTATTTTTAGTTTCATTCTTTTTAATATATATACAAGGTGTATCGGAATGACGTTTTAAAAATTTGGGGGATTGTAGAGGATGAAATTTTGAACGTTTTGGTTTTGACGTCATGTTAATGTCAAGTTTTTGCGTGTTTCAATGTTTTTGTAAAGTCCCTTATGTACGCAACACCTGTAGGAACAGTTCATGAGCTTACAGAGTGCATCTTTACAGCATTTAATACCATCAGAGCATGGCATCTTACAGAGGGTCGGACAAAACATGGTTCATCATTGCACATTATGTAACGAAGTTGGTGGTCGTCACATTGAACATTTACTCTAAAGTAGTGCAGCCACTGATTTGATGTACAGTTTGATTGTACTCTACTGTTTTGTCAATAAAACTTGTCATAAATACTGTATTCTGCTATTTCATTCAGCATACCGACTGCAAAGTGCAAAGTGCTGTAGAAACTTTATATCACATTTCTGGCTATGGGTTCCTTATACAGTAGACCCCCTATAACACGGGTTCCTATAATTACGATTCCTATAAGACAGCAAAAAAATTGTGACGGTATCCGTACAAACTCCTATAATTCGGTAAAACGTCATCGGGCAGCCAAACTACTTTTTGCCGTCCAGCGCCACTCTACGGAGAATTTAGGCGGGTAAATTGAGTTTACTATCGTCTGTACAGTATTATATATAAATTAGGTACTGTACATATAATTATATATTAATTATATATAAATTAGGTACTGTATATATAATTATATATTAACTTAATTTATTGTAACTTTATTATAATTATATATATACTTTCCACCATCCAGCGCCACGCTATGGAGAGTTTAGGCGAGTAAGTTGTTTACTATTGTCTGTACAGTATGTAAATTAGGTACCGTAAGTCTAATACAGTACTGTACTTTTATACATTTCTTGTGAAAGAAACATTTCTTATTCAACGGCCATAAAAATTATTTATATTAATGATGTCTCCAAAGTTCAATGAAGTTTTCGCAGAAAAATAACTTATCAGAAATTGTGGCCGTGGTTTGGTGCATTGCTCCGCGACGAAAACAAGCTTGAGCAATGGCGACGTCAAACGGTGCACACTCGGTAAGTAATCCTACAATTTTTTGTTTATAGCGTAGTTTATACGGATTATTCCCCCCAAAAAATATACGTATTTTGGAAATGTTGAGTTGAATTAGTCTAGAATCGATTAATTTTATGGAAGAAAACCTTTCAAACAGCTGTAGTCCGTAAACTTGACACGTGTCGGGCTGTGATTGGCAAGGACTCGTAAGAAATCGATTCATAAAGAACAGAATGTATCTACCGTGTTATAGGGGGGTCGACTGTATCAAAACATTCAAAATTTCATCCTCTACAATCCTACAAATTTTTAAAACGTTATTCTGATACACCCTGTATATAAAAGTGTTTAATTTGTATTTTCAATGATTATTTATAACCTTTATTAAAAATTTAACAGTTTATTTTTATTTTCAAATATATTATTATTATTTTCTAATGCCCAATTTGCATTTGTATATTACTCTGATATGCATTAACATTTTTATCTGAAAATGTATTAGAAATACTATTTATACAATATAAAAAGACTGAAGGTGACAAGCAACAATAGGAACCTTTTTAACAATTAACAAGACAAAAAGTTATGTAAAGTCAAAAATATTGATAATGTGTAGGAGGATGACAAGGAGACAGAAAATTTATTTTTTATTAAACAACTGATATATTTGAAATGACTCAAAGATATTAATTATAACTATTTGTCTTTAAATGGTAGTTACAATTATTGTTCTTATCTCATTTCACACATATCAGTAATTTAATAATAATAAAATATAAGCTTATGAATTAAAACTTCTGTCATCATTCCTTACATTATGAAAGTTTTTGATTTATGTTTATAACTGTAACAAAAGTATTAATGAGATATAATAATTAAATAAAAATATATCAGGAGTTTTTAAATAACGTGTTTAAATTTCTTTTAATGCGTTTCTACTTCATTACAAATAAGATGAGTAGAGGATTATATATGATCTATTAGAATTGGTACTTGAATTAATTGATGAATTGACTTTTATGTATTGAAAAAAGTCAATAATATCTAATATAAAAATATTTTAATAACATTGTATGTGTGAAGAAAAAATAATTAAAATGATATTTTGAAATAAATATTTATCATAATATTTTTCCATAACAGTTCACATTATTCTTTCAAATAACATTAATGATAAATGATAATGTATTTTTTAATACTTTTTTCTTAAAATATAAAATATATATTTATATTTCAGTCAATTTAAAGAAAACTAAAATACATTATAACGGTTTTTTTATTAAGGACTTGAGAAATTAGAAACCATGGATATTTTAGAAGAAAGAAAAAGGAATTTTGAAATTCTACAGAATGTTATTGGTGTGCAGTTTCCAATTGAGCCATCTAATAAAAAATTGAAGCAAAATTATAAGTAAGACTTAAAATTTTAAATTTTTTATTGATTTTTGCTTTTTGAAGTTAATAGTTTTATATTAATAGTTTAAAGAAATTCTGAAAATTTATTGAAATCAGTATATTAAAATTTGTTGGCAGAATTTAAATTTATAATAATTATTCTTATAATAATTTAATTTAAATTTAATAATTATTATAATTATTATATTTTATATAAGATGGCACCTAACACCTCCATCTAGTGCCAAATTTATTTGTAATTCATAATTAATATTTCCAAAATATAGCCTGATTATTTACAGCAACTGTGGGTGTCTATTTGATGATGAATAAGTGAATGAATTTTTATAGCATTTTCTCTAGTAATGTACTGATGTTAATTCTGTAAAATCTCAACAGAATTTTTAAATTTCTTGATGAAATGTTTCACTTGTCAGTAGAAATAGATATCACAAGGTTGAAAGTATGGAGTACAATGAGGAAGAATAATTTCAATAACAGATTTGCAGTTGCCACCATCATCTGTAAACATATTGTTAAAATGTTCCTAATCTGTCTGATCTCCCCATGAATCCAGAATCAGTAGATCCTTGTAGAGATTCTTGATTCTTACAATAATCTAGCAAATACCTCTTTGACAAAGCTGCTAAAATGGTTCCTTGTGATTTTTCCAGACTTTGATGCTGTGAAGAATATGCTTCCATGCAATTCTTTAATATCTTTAATATTACTAGTAACACAAAGTCCAAAATTTCCTTTTGGTTCTTGCATGCAAAGGAAAACTTTTGGAAGAAGTTTTTCAGAAACTTTTATGGCATATTATGCAGTGTAACTATGAGTGACTTTGTTAAAATCAACAAGAAAGACTTTTTTTTTTTTTCATATTTGGTGGTTAAAGTTTGTCATATTTCCATGTGATATTCACAACCAGTTTGGTCTGTATTTGTTGAAAAATCAGGATAAAAATTTTAAATGTTTTTCACAATTTACTTTTGGAATTTCTGTGCTTTTTTAAAATAGTAGTTAGATTTTAATGCGTTTTTTGATTTTATATACTACAAAGTATATAAATACCTTTCTCTGATGAATAGAATGAGTAGTCTTGAATTTATTAATTCATCCATGTGATGCTGTAAAGTAAAACTCTGGCCCTTCTGGGGAAATTGGACAACAGCCTCTGAAGCCCTTTGCAATAATATTCTAGTTGTCACAGGTTGCATCTGCTGTTTGGCTTCACAGAAGTGATTAAAAGTCCACTTGTCACTCATGTCAAATTTTTTTTTTACATTTCTACCTTTTTCAATTTGTTTCCTTCATTTTTGTAGGTTCTTTTTGGAACCTACAAAAATGATACCTCCATTCTTTTGAATGGTTTTTAAACTCCAATTAGGATGTTTTCTTAGTAAATTCAGAATTTTAGTTTTTGTATCAAGCGATATGTATTCTGCTTTTAATTTTTTAGATTTTGGCTCATAATCTTCACTTTCCAACACAATTGAATACAAAGTACATTATCGTTTTCTGGGATGTTTTCTTTTGTATTCACTCATTTTTGATGTACTTTCACTATTAATCAAAATCAGAGGGTAGCCAGCCATGTCCTATCCTTGTGAGACTCAGATAAATTGTCAAGAATCCACTAGGTGAAGGAAATTCAAAACCTTAGGGCAGTGATTCTCAACCTTTTTTTCGTCATGTTACACTTTTAATAATTAACAACTTTGGCGGAACACATGTTTACTTCAGTAAGTACCGCGGGACAACCGGTAATGTCATAACTGATTTTTAAACACCGTTCGTTATTTAGGTCCCATTTTCTAATCACCTTGGTAACTAGTGGCAGTTACTAGTAACACCGGTTACTATTTCCAAACGTTCCCTAGTAAGGTAGAACTGATTGAACTACTTGTTTGATGTCACATACGTGTGGGTATTCCCAGTGGCGACACACTTAAAAAATATCGCGGCACACTAAAGTGCCGCGGTACAGTGGTTGAGAATCACTGCCTTAGGGATAGATAAATTTTGTTTAAAGTATTAAGCCCTTATTACAATGAGAGAAGAGATAGAGATTCAAAGTGGGTAACAATAGCTACTTGATGATAGAAAATTTGTAAAAGTAATTGCATCACTAATTTGGAGGTTTGAGTGGCAATGTCTTTATTTATATATTGTCTCTTCAAACCTTCAAATTTAAACCTGTAAAATTTATAAATGGCTGAATATTTAATAATACTAGCTATAAGTTCATTAAAACATTTTTAATATATTTATGTTATAGTATTCTAATTTTAATTATTGAATTTATATAAACTAATATTAATTTATAATATNAATAATTAATAAGTTGATCAAAAGAAATTAAAACAATCTTGAAATAAATTTTAATGAAGTTTATATTTCAGAGATATGAATAAATTACGCTATGATCCAACAAGTGAAGATGCAAAGAAATTTGAATTAAAGCGTGAACCAAAACAAAAGGACTCATTGAAAAAGTAATAATAGATATTTTAAAATAAATTTTATAATATATGTATAATAAATTTTAGATTATTTAATAAAATTTATAGGTATAGTTTTTATGCTAATTAATAATTTTAAAAGTTTATATTAATTTCATAAACAGATTTACTGTTTTTAATTGTAATATCAATAAAAGTAAATGTAATTTTGTGAAACATACTGGATAATACTGTTAATATTGTAGTCAATTTTTGATTATAGTCACATTTTTAATCATTACATTATTCAATTAAAAATTAAAAGTTGCACAATGTAAAATCCTAATTATAAGAGCTAAATATTTAAATCATTCACCAAATCAAAAAAAAAATTTGAATTTAAAATGAAACAAGCAGATTTATTTAATAATATAAGCCATTGATCACGCTGTTTGTATAGCTGTAATCTACAGTGAGTGCATTGGATAACCTCGTTGATTAATCAATAAAGCGAAAAGTGAAAAGAAGCACACTTTGATGGTGGCCATAGACTTTAAAGGGGTTTTTGATCATGCCTAGTGGCCAGAAATTCTGTACCAGCTTTAAAAATCTGGTTGTCCAGATAACTTGTACAAGATCATTAATAGCTACCTGGAGGATAGGAGTGTGATGGACTCAAATAACGGTAAAATATACTACCAAAAGAGCATTAATAGGGGCTGCCCTCAGGTCTCAAAGTCCGGGCCTTGTCTTTGGAATATTTTGTATAATAGCCTCCTGAGTATAAAGATCATCAGCCTAACAACACTATGATCCCAAGGGTATGCTGATGATACCACCATTTTAACCACTACCCTGCCCCTTAGGGAATAAATATTTATACAGATTGGTCCAGGTCAGACAACAGTGTCGGTGGGTCCATTGTCATCTGCAGTAGTGATAATGACTTCCACTACCAGCATTATTTCAGGATGGACAATCATACGGTTAACTAGGCTGAGTCTCTGGCCATCCTCTGGGCCCTCCAATATATCAGGAAGGAATTTGGAAAGCTCAAAAAGAGGCATCTAAATATCTTTAGTGATAGTAAGGTTGCGCTGTTGCAGATAAGGTTGTGCTGTTGTTATCTTGTTCTATTTTATCTATGTACATGCAATGTTTATACTTTGTTATTGTATTATTGTGTCTGTGTTTATTTTGCTGGCACAGCACTTTGGGGACCCTTAACCTATTCGATGTTGAAATTTTTATTTGTTGCTGGTGATGCCATGTTGAATTTTTGTCGATGTTAAGCCTAAAATTTTTTTTTAAAATAAGAATCGTGTTTACTGTATCATAAAAAATTATTTTTTTATGTTTTACAAACAAAATAAATATATTGAATAATATAGAAACAAAAAAAATTATATTCTAAAAGTTTGTTTTAATATAAAAATCATGACGCATAGCGACATCTAGTATCAAAAACGTTCCGATGTAAACACAAAAATATTCGGGATCGCNTGAATAATATAGAAACAAAAAAAAATTATATTTTAAAAGTTCGTTTTAATATAAAAATCATGATACATAGCGACATCTAGTATCAAAAATGTTCTGATGTAAACACGAAAATATTTGGGATCACCCATGCAGGTCAATGAGGTCAACACGAATATTTTCGGGAACAACATAGAATAGGTTAATGTAACATTAAGTACACCCCTTTTGGTTGTAAATGGTTCCCAGCCTGGCATTGTGAGATCCCTCCCACTCTTTTCTTCTCACCTGTCCTTTCCCCAGTCCTCTTCCCTCTCCTTTACCTTTATTCCCCCATTTATCTTTGGCTATACCTTTTTGGTAAGGCTGCCTCTATCTATCTATTTATATCTGTAATCTGTAATGGAATACCTAGAATGGCCACTAGGGGCATTCCTAGGTATTATTTAAATTAANTAAGGAGGCTATTGGAAAGTTTTCCATCTCATCTTTTGCAGAGTACCATGAACAATATTGGTGGTGTGAGGCCTTACATTGTTGTAAAAGAAAAATCACTCTTTTTGACAGCAAGTCTAACCTTTTTCACTTTATGGAGGTCCACAATTCACATGTTTTGTAGTAGAATATAGTATTAATAGTGGTACCAGTCTTTATGAAATTGAGAAGCAATGACTCTTGCTAGTTTAAGAATAATATTAGCATTAATTTCCTATCACCAGGCATTTTTTTGAAGTTTTTGGGAGGCAATCTTTCTAGAGATGAGCAATAGTTAACTACTAATGTAATTAGACTATGCAGTTAGCTATAAGTATTTATTTTATTTTAAATTGTTTTGCCATTCTAATAGCTTATTAAACTGTTTGGTTGTGTAAAATATGTTATTTATTTTTTCATGGCAATATTATTTGTTTTCTATGCCACTCCATTTTCAATATCTAATATTAATTTTAATTTCAAAATTTCTGGAATGAAAAAAAAAATTAAAAACAGTTTAAACAATATTGAACAAATCACAGAAAACAAAATATATAAAAAATAAAACCAAATGGAACAAAAAAAAAATGTGTTTAAGCAATTTTTTCTGCATCTATACTTTCTAGAGATGAGCAATAGTTAACTACTAATGTAATTAGACTATGCAGTTAGCTATTCTCAGTATAGNTCATTTTTCCTTTTAAAATTAAACGACTTCAATATTCCATCATCCTGGCATTCACCATGACAACGAACCATATTCTTTGTATATAATTAAAATTATATTTAGATATATATGAAGTTTGGTTATCATCTTCAAATATGTGAAATGTTTTTATTTTAAATTAAGTAATATCAATCTTCTTCACTTGTTTCTTAGAGTAATGAAAAGTTATGCTAGTGTTTGATTATGTTGTAAATGACATATACATGTATGAAAATCAATCAAAAAGTAATGATACACTTTTAAAGCAATGGGTTTTATTTGACAGAAACTAAACATAATTTCTGTAGGAAATTAAGCAATTATCTCACTGTTTTACTAGCTAGAAGATATCTTTTTAGATAGAGCTGCTTTGGCAGCTGGAGCAAGAGCATTCAACCTGAGACAACCTCTAATGCATTTTCCAATTGAAATTATTGGTCCTTTAACACTTTTTCCAGCTATACAAAAATGTGAAAATTGCATGAGGAGAGGTTCAGACTATACAGACCCGTATATTCCGTATCGACCTGAAAGTCAGGGAAAATCAGAGCATAAGATTTTTAACAGAGAAAGTCATGGAAAGTTAGTGAATTGCATTGAAAGTCAGGGAGAGTCAGGGAATCTGCAAATACTATGGAATCTGTTGCTCTCACTTCCTTTTGATCCAAACATGTCTTTAAATTCGATTCAGTATAGGGAAGTCTACAAAAACTGGAGTGACCAAACAAATGGCAAGATTTGTCATGTTTATATCTTGTAAACTATAAATGATAATCTAAGGAAGGTTATGTTGGTATTTATGGTGGGTAGTGGGGGTGTGCATCCGTGTGGGGAGGGGTAACAGTTGCATGTGAACACCGAAAATGGCGTCATGGTGTGGTGTTTGGGCAGTGAAACATTGGATGGCGAAGAGATAGGACATCGAAATTGGTGTCGATATGTACATAACGACAGGATCTACAATATTATTTAGCAATGATAACCAATAAAATAAAATTTGTAAAGTTATAAGTCAATAGCTGTGTGAATCAAAGAAAATTTTCATAATGTTGAAGAAGTTGCAAAGGAAGTATGAACAGAAATGTAAGAAACATATATCCTTGGAAAGAAAGATTGAAAAGGAACCAGAAAAACCCAAAATAACTAATGCCAAATGATGCAGATTGTATGGAGAGTGTAAGAAAACACAGCATGTCAACTCCAATGCAAATACTTTGAGTGCACTACTGCATGAACCGATAGTAATTGACTTGGAATGTGATAACCACCTAGACTTTGTTCCTTTACATCTTATCCTAAGAACAAACAGAAAAATATGAGATATGTTTTAACGCATATCTGATAATTTTGATTGTTTAATTATGGAGCTATAACTTATTAAAAAGAGAAACGATATATTAAACAGGATATTAATAAAATATTAAGTATATGTAAAATAATGTTAGGAGTTCAAGCAATCCTTGACTTACTCAAACAACTTACTTCATATGTAATACTTTGATACTCCAAAATCACTTTTCTTATGTGAAATTTGCACATTTTTACATTTTCACCTGATAAACAAAAATTTTTAGTTCTCTTGTGATGATAATTTCTTTTAGTTTTGACATCAAAATCATTTGTGAATTCTATTTTATTGCCTGTTTTCTATATAACTTATACTACAGTTGATCCCCTATTACACTGTTGATAATTCCGTTTTATATGAATTCCGTGTTGTATGAGTCACTTAGGTTTTACAAATACGTGTACCGGGCTGTGAACAGCTCATGTATTTNTGTAAGAAAACACAGCATGTCAACTCCAATGCAAATACTTTGAGTGCACTACTGCATGAACCGATAGTAATTGACTTGGAATGTGATAACCACCAAGACTTTGTTCCTTTACATCTTATCCTCCCTCTAATAACACAAAGATGGATTCATGTCTTAAATGATTACAATTGTGTCCCCTACACAACCCTTACAATTTTTTTGACCTGTGCAACTGGTTAATTCTTTGTAGTCAGTTGATGTCATTGGGGAGTAGACAGAATATTTCAAATATTACTTTATGCATTATAAAATAATCTCTTTAAAAAATTAAATTTTTTTTTTTAATAAGAGATTGTTAAGTGTTTTGTTTAGATCTCTGGGAAGGAAACTCTTCTATAATATGCATCTTTGTTGCTAGACTTTCAGAAATATGACTTTTATACATACTTTTAGGAACATCTTACATATAAAGAATCAAGGATTGCTTGTATTTTATGTCCTAACAGTACAATCCAATGATTGGGTAAACATAGTTAAATTAATTATGGGAATGTTTAGTGAAATTTGAACAGGTTCTTAAGTAAAAACAAATCTTTTTTAAAACACTATATCAATATTAGTTTGTTCAGAATTTAGTCATCTTCTAAGA